TTTTTAATCTCACCCCGGATGACATGCGATTCCGGACGATCTTCATACAATCGTCTCTTCAGCAGCTGAACATTGCCTGATCTTAGATGCCTTCAACGCACATCCTTCGAAATTTCTCTCACCCACAACTCTCCAGTCTCAATGCCTGCCTCGAAGTGCTCATCGTCAGTCCAGGTAAGAGCTGCGTGAGTCTGTCCGCCACAAAATGAGTCTCCTCCTGAGTTATTGAGTCCGGAACACTTTCCATGAGAATTGTTAAATTTATTGTTATTGATTTTGTATATTTCGCATGAAATTCAGATGAAAACTTCACGTGCCAAAAATATTGTTCTGAATCGCAAGTTTTGGGGACTTAAGTATTAATTTCTCGGAAAACTCACTTTAATACACAATTCTTATTCACTTTACTGGGAATATATTCATAGTCAAAAAAATCTCCTGGGAATTCTGTCCAGAATGAAAAGGCAAAACAAAACCCTCTTTCGTGAGTGGCAGAAAACCTTCCCAGAAATTGACTCAAATCTTGTTTTCTCCACTAATGCGCCCCACTTTTGGGCCCCAAAACTCCTTCTCCAATTTGTACACGGCATTTTTTGCGCCCAATTTCCCTTCCACTGCAATTCAATTAACGCACCATCGCGGGAAAAAAAGACTGCGAGGTGGAAAATATTAATCAAATTCAATTTGGGGGTAAACAATCGAATGGCAAACATTTCTCCATAATTAGCTGAAGTGGAAAAATCAACACTGTGTGAATTGGGGTGCTGCGTGGCCTCTTTTGCACTCCACGCGTCCGACGGAAGTGAACATCGCGCGAAATGATTTATGATTTATGCTCCTGATTCTTGCCCATGTGATAACGGATGGCGCGTTTCGGAGTTTTAGGGAATTTACTGCCATTCTACATGTAATTATTTTATGGCAATTCCCCGGTGATGGAGGCGCACCATTTATCGTCAGTGGGTGCTGAAGAATGGCTTTTTGCCGTGAAACTTTCAGCTTGTTTTTCTGGGCGCTTGTTGCTCTCGCCTTGTTGCGTTTTACATCGTCTTTTTCTCCCCTGGATATGTTTGTATGTAGTTTTTTTCCAACCACCCCGCGCGCGCGATTCCGCGATACACCTTCGCGCTGGGCAAGAGAAGAAGAAATCCAGCCAACGGAGCGCGAGATAAGCGTGTTCCGTTTTATTTTCGTACAACACGCGGACGACTTAATGAGCTGATATCAAGTCTCAAAGTCATTAAGGTTGGGTTCTGTCCGAGGAGCAAATAAAAAGTAAAGTGAAAATAATTTAATACAAACCATGAGAGACTGGGAATTGGACGTTCGTGCTTATGGGATATTTTGGCCGCGAGACGCGCACATTTTAATCCACCGTGAAGAGGTGAAAACTGCTGTTACAATATGCGCCATACATAATTGAAAGTCGTTCGCAAATTACAATGTTTTTTGTTTACTGTGGAGCTGAATTGAGTGGTCTCTGGGACTGTTTAATCCGCGTCAGAGGAGAATCGGATTCGATGCTTGATTTTAGTGTATTCAAGGGAAAGATTGTAAAAAAATGCACATTTGATCATCAAGTGAGGCAATATTTTACATTTCTTTTGTGTCTTAAAAGAGTCTAAAATACATTTTTTTCTTACCACATTAAGACTGAGAATTTCGCATGCAAATTGTGGAAGCGTTGTACGGATTTTTTACAGCATTATTTCCCCCTTTGGCGGATTAAAAGTTTCGTCTGTAGTTTAGTGTTTCATTGAGCAACATTAGGCAGAGAGCTTCCCTCACTTTGTCACGGAAACTCCCCAAAGTAGTCAAGAGTGGCCTGAGCCACTCCGTCCCTGATCTAGTCCTAAAATGAGAGCATAAAAACTCACGCTGCCGAGGGAGAAAAACAGAGCGAATGAGGTGTGTAATTCGACATGTACCTTCTTGTCTTTTTTCCATCAAGCTCACCTTCCTCATTTCACTGCTTGACTGTCGGCCACGTATCGGATTGTGCTTGGGAATATCCATTATAGGGAATTATTTATATATTACATCAAAATAATTACACACTCTCTGACATGATGAAGTCATTAGCCGAGTCGCCCATACAAAAATCTCTCTCGCTCTCTTCTCATTTTCTCTCGTGTGTTCCTGTTCGATTATTAATTGAAGTTGTGCGTGGCGCCGAAAACTTGTGCAAGTTCGCCTCGAATGTCTTCAGTCACTGTCTTCAAATGATGATTGAGCTACACAACGATGATGTTGATGAGGATGGATGATGGTGTCAATGACTTCCACATGACTCTAAACACCCCAGTAATCACCCAATCGATACCAATCACCCAATATGACTCACAATTTTTAGGCCTTCTGCGAAACTCAGCGGTCACCGTCTTTCGGAGCCTCTTTAGCGCACTAATCGCTAATCTCACGATGAGATTCCTGCTTAAGTGATCATCACACACTTCTCTCGGCACACAGAGAACTTCAGTAGCCTCTTGAGCAATTAAGATTCCTCCTAAACTCATCAATGCAAATATCAATAAATCATGCGGAAAAACGTGCCGCGGAAAAGGCGCACTCGCCAGTGAAAAACACTCAGGGAGAGGAGAGAGCGCTGGAGTGCCCTGCGAGCTGGCGATGGTCAGAGAAAAAGAGGAGCAGCGGCGGCATGTTGAGGTGATTCATGGTCGTGAGCAGCGGCATGTGCAATCACCCGCAGCAATGCAATATTCCTGCATCTGCATGACGCTGGACTCCTGCTGCTGTTCAGCAGTTCTTCACTCTTCTGGCCCTCTGACTCAGCAGACCATCGCCCGGGAGGCGAGACGCTGAATTTACGATCGTCATCCCGTGAGGGCTGAGACAGAAGTCACACAGCGATTACTCACCGTGATGTCATTCCTCAATTTAATTACTCATGAGTAGGTACAGAGAGATATTTATGCACCGATCAATCGACAGTCTAAAAGGGGTTGTCAAGTCTGCAAAGCGCGACAGGCGCAGGGACTATATCTGGTCAATTTCATGCTGTTTCTGAGTGAAAAAGCATACAAAATATCGGACTGCTCCGGTTTTGTCAGTGTTTTACTTAGAAAGTATCTGTAATTTGGTCAGCAAATTTAATCTAAAATTCTCAATCCTTGGTTAGAATTAATTGCTGACCAAACTGGTAAAATACTGGCCAATATAATTTTGTTTTACTGCATTTACAAACACTGCTTTTGATCGCAATTAAAAGAGCAGCGCCGCACAAAAGAGCCCCAAATTGAGATATATCTCCAACCGCCAGGCTGAAAACTACTGGCAAATTAGAAACGTCAGATAATCTCACACCTTTCAAGAGGTCCAACAATGGCACAACGTGATGTCGAGCGATTGTGCATCAACAGCGCGAACATTGAATTGGCGAGATGGAAAATAAGCAAATGTTTGCGTCCAACATTGTGGTTTTCCATTGATTTGCGCGCCAACCCTTCTGCAAATCATCGTGACTCACCGCAATTGGCAGCACGATGGGTGGCTCTGTGCAGCTTTTTGCACTCCTCGCGCCCTCACCGAAAGTGTGGGAATTAATCAAGTGAGATTTCGTGCAAGGAGGATTAAAAAATTTCACGTCTGCTCGCATCAGTGTTAATTGCATGGCGATGCTGAGCTCTTGAGTGGGTGAAAACACTGGCTGGAATCGCATCATTTGTGCCCCCATGATTGGGCGAAATGACCAGAACATGTGAAAGGCGCGCTCGGAATGGAATCCGCAATTCCCAGAAATGTTTTCGTGGCCACTGTCTCGCGAGGAGCGCAAAAGAAGAGCAAGAGCAGCTCTAGCTAGAGCACACTCAGAGAAATTGTGTGATTTCTCGCAAAAACTCTCTCTAATCTTCCGACTTTTGCATGATTTTGCTCGCCTTTCCAGAATCACGGCAAAGCAGGAACACAATTCTGTCTTCATTTCCCATGATTAGGCGCGCAATTTGCTCTGAGTGCGTCGAATTGAGGATTGTGTGCTGATTTATTTCATCGTAAAGACTTCAGAAGCCGCAGGAGACTTGAAATCGAGACTCTTTCTCAATGACTTTTCACAAGTGGGTTTTTTATTCTGAGTCCCCAATTCTAAGCCTTTCTGTCGGCACACCAGACTTTTTTCCCATGCCAAACAACCAATAAGCAATTTTATTGTGGGATATTTAAATTATATCAACAGAGCAAATGAGCGACAACAGATAAAACAACTCTCTGAGGTTCTCCAGGCACTGACAAATCATAAATAAATTAAAACTAATTTCATGCTAATTTTATTTCTGTTTTGATATTCCACCAATCTTCGCGCGAACTCCCTTTCGCCCGTCGCCCATATCAAATGTGTTCATCGGAGGTTCTTTTTTGCCAAACACACTCTTGTCTTCATCGAAATTGTTGACTTCTCAGTTTAGCGATAAGATGGATATTTCGTGAGACCGCCAGACGAAAAACAGAGTCTCTCACCAGTTATTCCGCGAAGACAATCCACCGGGTGAAAAACCAGATTTGTAATTAATTGCAGACAGTGGAATTGGTCTGGCCAGAAAAAATAGTAGCACAACATATTAAAGCCATCCGAGAGGAGGTTCTTGTCCACGAGAGATTAACATTCTTTGGGGCAACCGTAAAAAATTGCCATATAGAATGACATCATGGTGAATATTTCGCCAACTTCGCGATGGGTTTTTTGACCATGTCAAGCTTGATGGCTCTGCGCGCAGATTTGATGGGTGTTTGGCAAGTGAAGGGTCTGTAATTTACTGGCAACAAAGGAGTCGCGCCTCTATTTAATTAAACCATTATGCAGTTTGTGGCAATTCATTTGCAAAATCAGAAACTACCACATACGCAGAATCGCGCATTATCGCGAGAAATTTCAATTAAGTACCAACAATTTCATTCAATTAACATCTAATTTGCCATAACGTGTACATAATACATTACACAGCATCATTATGGAGACATCCACATAAAACATTCCATTTTGTTGGGAATGTTGGCCACCAGGGGCGTTGTATATAGAAAGGGGCAGAATAAATATAATGGCGTTCAAGAAAACTGGTGTCTATTGCGGCTATTATAGTGGCGACGAGTACGAGTGAAATTCACGCGTAAAATGGACGGAGTTGGTGATGGAGACGATCAGGAAGAGGTACGCTCGGAAGTGGAAGTGGAAGAAGACCTGCCCAGTCAAGTAATGCAGGCATTTGGTCAAATGACGCTGCCAGCCAAAGTGGAATATTTCCAACCCGGAAAAGGAAAATGGCGACGCTGGTTGATGCGTTTAGAGGAAACTTTCGAATGTTTCGGAGTTTTTGAAGAGGAACAGAAGAGAAGGATGCTGAACCATTATCTAGGCTCTGAAGCCTATGATAAGTTGTGTGACCGCATTAGTCCCAGGATACCTAAAGACCTTAAATACGCCGAAATTGTCCGGGAAATGACTGAATGTTTCGATCCGGAACCACTGGAGATTGTCGAAGTTTATCACTTCCAAATGAGGAAACAAGCAGAAGGAGAATCTTGCGACGAGTATTTGGCCGCTCTGAGGAAGTTGTCAACTAAATGCAACTTTGGCGAGTTTTTGGCGAAGGCACTACGAAATCAATTTGTGGTGGGCCTGAGGAACAAGACCATTCAACAGAGACTTTTGGAGAAGCGTGAACTCACACTGGAACTTGCTTTGGACATCGCGAAAGCTATGGAGTCTTCAGAACTGGGAGAAGAAGTAATACAACAACGTAAGCAAGAGATTAACAAGGTCAGCGCGACACAGAGGAGTTCTACAACGAAGGAAACCACTTCAAATGATGCTGAGGACGCTTCGAAGAGGACCAGGAGATGCTTCAAATGTGGATCAACATCTCATCTTTCGAATCGCTGCAATAGGGAGGTGACATGCTACATTTGTAACAAATCAGGACATATTTCCACTTTTTGCTATCAGAAAAATTCTAAGGGAGGAGCAAAGGCTCAAGATAATGAGAAGTTAAATAGAGTGGAAGATATCATGTATTTGGAGTCTACTCTTTGCAAGAAGATTTGTTTGCCAATTAGAGTCAAGGGAAAAGCTATGATTTTCGAGGTTGACAGCGGTTCACCAATTTCAATTATTGGTATGAGAGACAAAGATAAGTTTTGGCCCAATGAAGAGATTTTGCCCTCAAGGCGTAATTTTGTTGGATATGACGATAACAAAATTGAGATTGCTGGATTTATTAGAGTCAATATTGAGATTGAGGGCAGGAGACTTCAAGGTCAGAATTTGTACGTGTCTATGGCTTTGGACAAGACTCCACTGTTGGGAAGAGAGTGGATTCAAAGATTAAATTGGCTGAACTGGAATGAAGTGATGCAAATTCATAAAGTGAGTGAAATGAAAGATGTTTCAAAATATGTGGATGAGTTGAAGAAAGAGTTTCAGACAGTTTTTGAAGATTCGATGGGAAGAATTGAGGGATTTCAAGGTGAATTGAAGTTGCAGGATGATTGCAAACCCATTTTTCTAAGAGCGAGAAATGTGCCTTTTGCTTTGAGGGAATCTGTGGAAAATGAGATAAAATCTTTAGTCAAAGATGGTGTTTTGGTTAAGGTTAATCAAAGTAGATGGGCAACGCCTGTAGTGGCGATTCCAAAATCATCCGGGAGGGTACGACTTTGTGGAGATTATAGTTGTACGGTTAATCCAAGATTGATTATTGATAAGCATCCGTTGCCAACAACGGAAGAACTATTGTCTGATTTGGCTGGTGGTGAGAGATTTTCTAAGATTGATCTGTCTCAAGCGTACTTACAACTAGAAGTGAGGGAGGAAGATAGAGAAATATTGACGTTGAGTACACATAAAGGCTTATACAGACCTACACGACTTATGTACGGAGTAGCATCAGCTGTAGCGATTTGGCAGCGTATGATGGAGTCCTTATTGTTGGACATTCCAGGGGTGAAAGTATTCTTGGATGACATAAGAATAACGGGTTCAAATGATGAAGAACATTTTGACAGACTAAAGGAGGTGTTCAGGAGGTTGAAAAGTAAGAATATGAGAGTTAATTTTGGGAAATGTGAATTTTTTGCTGACAAAATTTCGTATTGTGGGTACGTAATAGATAAGCAGGGTATTCACAAGGATCCGAAGAAAGTGGAGGCTTTAGAAGAGATGCCACGTCCAACTAATAAAGATGAAGTTAGAGCGTATACCGGATTTGTGAATTATTATGGACGTTTCTTTCCGCATCTTAGCACGAAGTTGCATCCAATTAACGATTTGTTGAAGAAAAAGGGGTTTCATTGGAATAAACATTGTGAGAAAGCGTTCAGAGAAATAAAGAAAGAAATGTCAAGTGACAAGGTGTTGGCTCATTTTGATGAGAAGCAGGTTGTAGTAGTGGCAGTGGATGCCAGTCCGGTTGGTGTTGGTGCGTGTTTAGGACATCGTTATGAAGATGGCACGGAGAGGCCAGTGAATTTTGCATCTCAAACTTTGACTGATACACAGAAGAAATATACCCAGTTGGACAAAGAAGCGTATGCCATAATCTTTGGTTTGAAGAAGTTCTTTTCGTATCTGTGGGGTCGGAAATTTGTTTTGATAGTGGATAATAAGCCATTATCACAAATTATGAATCCGGTGAAGGGTTTGCCGCATTATTCAGCGTTGAGAATGCAGCATTATGCCATGTATTTACGGGGATTTGATTTTGAAGTGGAGCATCGTAAAACGGAATTACATGGGAATGCTGATGGTCTTTCTCGTTTGCCTTTAAATAATATCTCGACGTTTGAAACAGATGAACCGGAATTAGTTCAGATAGGGCTAATTAATGCGCTTCCGGTATTGGCTTCAGAGATTGCAAAGGAAACGGCTTTAGAAGTTGAAGTTCGAGAATTGATGATGGGACTTAAAGATGGGAAATTTGTTAAGAAAGAAAGCAGATTTGGCATTCCAATGGAAGAGTTTTCATTTAAGCATGGTTGCCTTGTGAGGGGAATAAGGACGTATATTCCTAAAAAGTTGAGGTGTGCTGTTTTGAATGAATTGCATGAGGGACATATGGGAGTCGTGAAGATGAAGTTATTGGCGAGAAGTTATTGTTGGTGGCCTAATGTGGATAAAGATATTGAACAGTTGGTGTTAAATTGTACAAATTGTCAAGAGATTCGGGCAGAGCCACCGAAGGCACCGATTCATTTGTGGGAAAATGCGAAGGAAGCTTTTCAGCGCATTCATATTGATTACGCGGGACCGATTTGTGGGAAATGGTTGCTGATAGTGGTAGATGCTTACTCAAAATGGCCTGAAGTAGCAATCGTTTCAGACATGACGGCATTGACTACAATTGACGAATTGAGGAAGATTTTTGCGACGCACGGAGTGCCTGAAGAGATTATATCTGATCAAGGACGTCAATTCATGAGCTGGGAATTTAGAGAGTTTTGTAAGAGTAATGGGATAGTGCATAAAACGGGAGCTCCGTATCATCCTGCTACAAATGGTCAAGCTGAAAGGTATGTTAGGACGATCAAGGAGAAATTGGTGGCTTTGAAACACGAGAATAGACAGAATTTAAACCAGAAATTATATTCGGTTTTGATGACTTATAGGAGAACTCCTCACAGTGCGACTGGAGAGTCTCCAAGCCAAAGATTGTATAAAAGGCAGATACGCTCACGATTGGATTTACTTATTCCTAAGGAAGTGACAAAGAAGGAGAACGTTGAGGGGCTGAATCTAAAAGGGGTTCGATCACTTGAGGTGGGCGATCGAGTAGCTGCTAGGAACTATAGAGTGGGAGAGGCAAAATGGAGATTCGGAAATGTAGAGACGAGATTTGGTCAGTTGCATTATAACATTGTTTTGGACAATGGTGTAAATTGGAAAAGGCATATTGATCAATTGAGGAAAGTGGGATCAAATGCTGGTTTGAATCAAAGACAAGTTGGTCAGTCTTATTGGGATGTTGACACATCGAACTCAGATCTTCCATACGAATCAGTTGAAGAAAATTTTGACGGAAATAATAATGAATTTGAATCTGCATCAATTCATGAAGGTGGAGTGAGTGGAGGAGAAGATGAGGAAGTAGAGCCAAGAGTTGAAGATGAAGGAGGAGAGAGAGAAGGAGTAGAGAGAGAAGGAGGAGAGAGAGAAGGAGAAGAGAGAGAAGGAGGAGAGAGAGAAGGAGTAGAGAGAGAAGGAGGAGAGAGAGAAGGAGGAAAGAGAGAAGGAGGAGAGAGAGAAGGAGGAGAGAGAGAAGGAGGAGAGAGAGAAGGAGAAGAGAGAGAAGGAGGAGAGAGAGAAGGAGTAGAGAGAGAAGGAGGAGAGAGAGAAGGAGGAAAGAGAGAAGGAGGAGAGAGAGAAGGAGGAGAGAGAGAAGGAGTAGAGAGAGAAGGAGGAGAGAGAGAAGGAGAAGAGAGAGAAGGAGGAGAGAGAGAAGGAGTAGAGAGAGAAGGAGGAGAGAGAGAAGGAGGAAAGAGAGAAGGAGGAGAGAGAGAAGGAGGAGAGAGAAGGAGTAGAGAGAGAAGGAGGAGAGAGAGAAGGAGAAGAGAGGAAGGAGGAGAGAGAGAAGGAGTGAGAGAGAGAAGGAGGAGAGAGAGAAGGAGGAAAGAGAGAAGGAGAGAGAGAAGGAGGAAGAGAGAAAGGAGTAGAGAGAGAAGGAGGAGAAGAAGAGAGAAGGAGAAGAGAGAGAAGGAGGAGAGAGAGAAGGAGTAGAGAGAGAAGGAGAGAGAGAGAAGGAGGAAAGAGAGAAGAGGAGAGAGAGAAGGAGGAGAGAGAGAAGGAGTAGAGAGAGAAGGAGGAGAGAGAGAAGGAGAAGAGAGAGAAGGAGGAGAGAGAGAAGGAGGAAGAGAGAAGGAGGAGAGAGAGAAGGAGTAGAGAGAGAAGGAGGAGAGAGAGAAGGAGGAAAGAGAGAAGGAGGAGAGAGAGAAGGAGGAGAGAGAGAAGGAGTAGAGAGAGAAGGAGGAGAGAGAGAAGGAGAAGAGAGAGAAGGAGGAGAGAGAGAAGGAGTAGAGAGAGAAGGAGGAGAGAGAGAAGGAGGAAAGAGAGAAGGAGGAGAGAGAGAAGGAGAGAGAGAGAAGGATAAGAGAGAAGGAGGAGAGAGAGAAGGAGAAGAGAGAGAAGGGAGAGAGAGAAGGAGGAGAGAGAGAAGGAGGAGAGAGAGAAGGAGGAAGAGAGAAGGAGGAGAGAGAGAAGGAGGAGAGAGAGAAGGAGTAGAGAGAGAAGGAGAGAGAAGAAGGAGAAAGAGAGAAGAGGGGAGAGAGAAGGAGTGGGAAGGGGAGAGAGAAGAGAGGAGAGAAGAAGGAGGAGAGAGAGAAGGAGGAGAGAGAGAAGGAGGAGAGAGAGAAGGAGGAGAGAGAGAAGGAGAAGAGAGAGAAGGAGGAGAGAGAGAAGGAGTAGAGAGAGAAGGAGGAGAGAGAGAAGGAGGAAAGAGAGAAGGAGGAGAGAGAGAAGGAGGAGTGGAGGTTGACCGGAGACGGACACGTATGGATCCTGAACTTGTGGTTCCATCAAATACAGATAGACCAAGAAGAAACAGAAAACCACCAAATCGCCTAAACCTATAATCATAGCTATTCTTCATTAATTTTTAATCTCAATCAGAAATGAATTAAATTGGAATCAGAATTTATTAAGGAGGGAAGGGTGTTGGGAATGTTGGCCACCAGGGGCGTTGTATATAGAAAGGGGCAGAATAAATATAATGGCGTTCAAGAAAACTGGTGTCTATTGCGGCTATTATACATTTAATGGACATACAATGCAAGAGCGCATTCTGCCACCCCCAACAGAGTCTCTCTTCACTCTCACAAATACTTTTTCAACCTTTCAGTTGTCTCCCATAAAAGCCAGGACGACAGTAAATTCTTCGAATATCCCTGATCGTATTGAGAAAGCCAAAAACTCGTCTTATAATTCAAAACCATAAAATAGTTTTCGTACAACTTGGCAATAATATGTCAAAGACTCATAAAATCAATTAACGGCTTTGGTTTTTAACTTCCTACAAAGGAGATTTGATACACAAAATCTACAAAACTCGATGGAGTTTCCAATTTTCTTCACAAAGTATTTTCTCAATTAAAAAAATGCCAAATTCCACTCTAATCACAATGTCAAGAAAAATTCGTAAAATTTTAGTAGAATAGAGAAGCTATCAACAAGGCTTCAATTGCTCAAAATCTAAAAGATTGTTATTATGCAAGCCATATTCTTAAACATAGACATCTTATCTAATATGAAATGACTGTAACGTCGAAAAAAATATTAATAATTCGAGGAAAGATATCGTTTCTTGCTTCAGCATGTGTTCTATCTGCATTTTGGTCATTTTCTCATCCGAAACTCCATTTGAAACTCAATATGTCTCACACAGTTTCCAAATCTTTTTCCAAATGCATCGCGCGCGGATCATTTTAGCTCTATTACCTGGCCATCATGCATCGCTATCTCGAATTACTGCGACGTTAAGAGCCGCTTGAAATTTGAGCTGTCCCGAAATAGGATTATGCAAATTAATATCGCCAATGGCACTGAAGCGTTATAATTGATGTCAATTTACTGGCTTTTTGCTCATTAAAGCACCGGGAGCAGCGAAAGAGTGTCGAAATAATAAGCAGAAGGCTTAGTCTGCCCTGCAAGGTACCAGGTTGCCATCAAGGTCTGCCAAAAAATTCTGGGAAGCTAATTAGTGTGAAATTTATCGCTTTGTCCCAGTTATTATGGAGGATTTATCGTGAGACTCTGCGGAACGGATGGGCGCTTCTCGTGACAAATTCTCAATAACAATCTGTCATAATTGTGGGTGTGATTCTTTTCAAATTAAGGCAGCAATTTTTTGGGAAGGTGCAGAAAAATCGGTCACTATGAATGATAAATTGTGAAATTGAAAAATTTTCCGCCGCGCACTCAAATGTGCGGTGTGGAATCATTAAATTGTTTAATGATGAGCACATCCTCTTGGTATTTCTCCCTCTCACTCTTAATTCTGGGATATTACAAGACATCTCTGTGTGTGTGGAAAAAAAGAGAGATTGTCTGTGCGGAGATTTAATCGTTCGAAGAGTGGAAACCGCCCGAAAAGCTAAACCTATCATTATTATTTTGGTCGAAGAGTGTATAAACTCTCTCGCCTTCCTTTTGGGTGGGCAATAAAAGAATCAGAAAACCATGACCATGACCAATTCTTGCTGCCAAAAGCCCGCGAGAGTGCATTAGAGCTCTTTCCCATTCTGCTGATGAAATTCTTCTACCTTCACAATGCCTTTTTGCACTTAATAACTGTGCATGCTCGCGATGCAAATGCCGTTCTTCATCGCCAAATTCACCTCCAAACGGTGCGATAATTTCATAGCCAAAGAGTCCAACCATGAACGTTTTTGGGGGCACAAAAAGAAGGCGAAAAGTCCTGGCAGCGACGAAGTGGCATTCCGAGACAGAAGAGCAAGCCATAAATTCACTTTTGACATTGTGGTTCCCACCGAAAATCCACTCTCTGCATATTTAAATTTATTGCAATAAATTTATTAATTCCCGAATAGGGGTTCGTCTTGAGATTTGCCGCGCGATGGAAGATTAAATCGTTCAGTCGTTTGAACTGTGAGTTGGCTGAACTCGCACTTGAGGAATCTCCCTGGATTTTCCAGCAGAAAAACAGGACGGTTAAATTCGGGAGAAGATGGATTAAAATATTGAGACGTGCGAGATGTAAACTAAGACCACACACTGAGTTGCGAAGACGTCCTGAGAAAAAAACTGTCTCGCAATGAAATTTATCGATTGACTCAGCAAATTCGTGGGATTTAGCATTTTTGCTGAATTAATCAAGTTTGAGTGATAAAATACGGAGAAATTTGTATGCCACAGGAATTTAATAGGAAATCCTGTCTAATAGCTTAATCACAACTGTCGAATTGTGTCAAATTTTCAAATAATAATTGTAAAATTGCTTTTTGCCAGCATTTCCAATACTGCGACTGATGAACTTTTGCCAATATCTCACAATGTTCAGAACAATTAAAATATAATAAACATTAATTGGCATTTTCCTAATGTAATGGCATGCGAGGCATTAGTTGATGGTTATTTGATGAAAATTAACCAACCGCAGGCGATAAAATCAAATGCATTTCAAATGCATTCATTTGGATTGGAATAAATTTACAAAACAAAATGTATTCTTCTCCCCATGAATATTTAGTGTGAATTGTGTTTTGCCAAATGTCCAAGCGTTGGTTCGGCAGTTTTTGTTGTTTATATATTAAAAAACGAAACTTCACGATTTATGCTGGCATCGAAGAGTTCACCGCACTGTAAATCCCTGCTTTGTCCACGTTATTTTTGCAAATCAATATTTAATTGGGGATATTAATAGAAATTGCAGTGTTTGCATTGTACAGATTCGAATGTGAGCGGATTGCAAATGGTCGCTGGCCGTAAATAATTTAAGTTATTGGCCGAGAAGTGTGAGGAAAACCTAGGGAAAAGTGGCGGACATAAATAAGCTACAAGTGGGCATGGTATTGATTGATTCGCAGTGCGGAAGAATCGACTAAAGAGCTGAGAAGTGCTCCTCTGCCTTCTGCAAATATTGACGTGATTAGTGCACATTTTCCACTAGTGAATTATTGCATAATTCAATTAAATTCCCTCGTGGACATGAGCACAATTGGAGGGTTAAATGGAGCGTAGTGTCCTCGGGGGGCGTCACAGAGATCCGGAGGGGGATAAAAGCTTGTCGGCCAGTTGAATGCTTTCAAGGAAATCCACACGAGCACCGGCTTGTCTTGTCCCTCCTGGGCTCCATAGCTGATGACTCGGAGCGCTTCGCCTGGGATTTCGATCGGGTGTTTGCAGTGCATCGTTAAGCTCCACTCACTCTCGAAAGCCAAAGCATCCCCGCCCGCCCACATAATGTGAACGACACTTAAATGTGGCGGGATTAGGTGTTTTATGGGAACGTGTTCTTTGTGGCGATGCAGCGCCGAGGAAGGCGAAACGGGTACAGGATTAATATTTAAATCCACCCCTTTTATCCAATCAATCTTCCACGTCTTGCCGCCGACAAATTTCCACCCAACCGCCCGCTCGAATTCAAATTGTCCGTTGCGCAAGCGTCTGAATTCGCCACGCAAGGAGTTAAAAAATGATGCGGCGTCAAAATTGGGTCTAGATGGCAATTCGATTAGGTGTAATGAAGCTCTTAGACTCTCCATCCTAATCAGATCTTCATCAGCACCTCAAGAGCCCAGCTCCAGAGCCGTTCAATTGAGATCCCCGAGCATCAGACACACCCCCACTCCGTCGCCCAGGCGAGTAAATTAAATTTGAATTATCATCCCTCTAAATTTGTACTCGTGAGTGTTTCTCCGTGGCGGAGCATCTGAATTCCCGGAGCGGTGGCAAAGTTAAATCCCATCCGAAGGGAGACACACATACACACACGGAGCACTCGAGTGGGGGGCGAGATATGATGAGGATGGTAAAACCAATGGGTGGTAAAACTTAACTGTTTGCAATTAATCAAGCATTGTGATAGTTGCGCGCCGGTAGAATACACTGTACTTAATGCTATGCACACAAACAAGAGAGTTGAGTGACGCTTCTGTTCCGCCGCGCCACCCTCAGACCCGGGCTTTCGGGCCGATGATGCGCACACAGACTCCCACCCCGTGTGCTCTATATGCACATGGAGCGACAGAAATATCGTCGTCGAGACGGCACTTCTTGCAGCAGAAACCCGGGGATGGGATTCAACACGGCGCTCGAGGTCGCTGTACGCGAGGCGGCGCAGCGCCACACGGTCAGAAACGAGCTTTCGCTGGGCAAAAGCGCAAATTTGAGCCAATATTTGCAACGCCTTGAAATCTGTTCATGAGAATGGTTCGAAAGTCTAATCAGCGATTGCTTGGTTGCATCGAATGCAGTGCAGCTCTAGCTTAGAGCTCTCTATTGCTCTAATCAACCCAATTAATCTTAATTAAAGATCCAATATTTTTTGTTAATATAGAAATTAATTTTTAACTTTGTTCAAATAATTTTTCAGCGTTCAGCGAAAGCGCGATTTTTCACAGTGTTGGAAGTTCACTGGAGGTTTGCTCGTGTGCAGCCGGACTGCGGGAAAATGACCGGGAGAGCGCGCGGGGGCGCCAAACCAAAGTACATAATGAAGTGTGGTGTAAAATAATAGTACGCCGTCGTCTAGCTTTTCCCACACCGCGGAAAAATGGTGGGCGAGCGTCCAACGCCGGGAATCGCAGTCTAATCTCTTAAACCGTCACACTGATCATTAATTACCCTCGGCAAGACTAGACGAAAATTGTGGAATTTCGGTTTTTACCCGCTCACCCCAAAACACACTCATTTTTCAATTCACGCCAAGGCTTTTTGTCGCTCAAAGTCCACTCGGGCAATACTATTTCAGAGCTCCTGATTCACAAGATTGTGATTTTTCCCTGGACATGTCTTCTCCACGGAAAAATGTCGTAATTCAAGACTGAAGAAATTTAAGATTCCCATTGGGAATCTCCCAAGGAAGATGGGTAAATACATAATCTTTGACAGCTTAGGGAGCATTTCTTCTGACAGACTGGGTGATTAACATTGAGAATTAGAATTAATTATGAGTTTGTACAGTGTATTAGGCGACATACATCCACTTTTTTCCCCTCCAGCCAAGCAATTCCAGCAAGATTTCACATCCTCTGAGATCCTCTGCTCGAGGATGGAATTAAATTCAGCCGCCTAATCCTATTTTAATGTAGAGCGTGCGAGGTTTTTGCGCAACGGGAAACCCTCGCAGTCTCGATGACGGCATATTTCGGGTGATTAGATAATGTGGTTTCATGAAATTGATGATGCTCTCCGTCGGATTTATCCTCATAGAGTTGAAACCATCGTGATTAATGGACTCCCTGATTGGAATTTCGACAAATTTGTCATGAAACACTTCTCCCTGGGCAACTTTTGGCATTTTTCACCGATTTTTCCTTCTCTCCCGCTTCGCTCTTTCACATTTCTCCCTCACATTCAAAGCTAATAGGAATTGTCTTCGCATTCCGGAATGGAGGAACACTGTCGCTCCCACCTTCTCTTGGAGACATCTGAGAAAATCATAAATCTTCCTTCTAATTACAGGTGTAGTGAGATATTTTGATTGCATTTTCACGTGAGCAAATAAATTCGTCGCCCGGAAACTTTTCTCCACAGTGTTCTTCCATAGGAATGGCAATAAAAAATGTAATACCCAAACAATGTGTCCAAATAATGTAATTCTACCTCTGGCACGTCAGAAATATTAATTTATTTCACTGAACCCAATGTCTTTCCAAGTAATTTTCCTACAAGCCTTCGGGCACTGCTATTGCCACTGAATGAAGGAGTTTATTAAGCTTTGTTCCTCTCGTTTCTCAACAAGGCCAGTGAAAGAAATGGTTTGTTTACTTGTTTGTGGACTTTATTTCATTCCAAGTTTGAAAGAATCCTGTACCAGATCTAGGTAAAATATTAAAACTTTAGCGTTCCTATTCAACTCTACAGATCGCGTCTTATAATACACAAACGCTAGATTCAAATTCATAACCATATTGACATTTTCCATTTCTCCACTTACAATTTCAGAAACATTTCTGAGCTAAATCTTGAAGGCTTAACTCCTTTCTTTTATGAGATAAGAATGCAGAGTTGCATTCAGTCGTTGAATCACATTTCATATTATTCTATAAAAAATAAGCACTTAAACACAATGGTTAGAACCCCACATTTTGCGCATAAAAGTCGATACACGTGAGTGAACTTTGGGGACCAGCCGAGGAATCGGGGAAAGCGTAAGTGAAGTCAGCCTGAGAGCGCGATTTATGGATGATTTGGTAAAAGTGCAACATATTGTGGTGCCCGAGACGACACTGCAAGAACCGTAAAAATCATTTATTGGGTGATTGTGCAGAATTATCGCGAGATTCACTGATCATGGGTGAATGATTAACGCCAGGCACACGGAAGAGTGGATTTTTGCATATAAGCGCGAGGTGTGGTGAGCGAAATGTGAGCGACGATGGAAAGAGCATAAACACCTTTATGTCATTCACATCAATTTTCAACTGTAATCTTATTCTTCTGCCTTCACCAATTCCACATTATTTTCTCAGTCTGCGCGCTTCTCCTCACTTCCAGTGACACTTATCTCTTGTTTTTGCTCGCCCCACGAAGTTGTTTTCGACGTCGCGGGGGAAATAAAAAGTAGCAATTTACTGTACAGTGAATTTTGGTGTATTTTAGTACTCGGATAGGGAGATACTATAAACAAATTTACAGTAATAAAGATGAATCATTTGAATAATTTGTAATTATACTCCAGTGTGTGGAGCAATAAAACTATAAAGATGATGGTTTGTTGGCTCACTTAAAATATCAACCGTGATACGAACGACAGGAATTAACGTGGTGTGCGCGGACTGTGTTGGAAAATGCTCGTCAAAGACGCGCTTCTTCATCGTTCTTTCACTTTTTGGCACTTTTATTTGCCGCATAAAATCATGGAGTTTGCGGCGGGCGATGGAAAATGCGAGGGAAATGACTTTGCAGGTCATTCGCCAGACAATTTCATCCGCTTGTGGGGTCAAGAGTGACATAAAAGTCCCCCAGTTTCTTACCAAATCCGCCACTCAATCTGCCAAATGATCTAACATTTAAGGTGAAACTTTCCGCACACTCAATTTTTAAACAGGAAATCTACTGAAGAGCTGGAGAATTTCAATGGAAGTTTCATCACAAATAAGTCATTAAATTTCAATCACATTCCTTTAATTACCACCCAAGAAATACGATAAACTTTTGACGACAAAACTAAGTCTCTTGGTGCGATGCCAGCCACAAAAAACTACCTCGAAATGCTATTAAATCTCATAGAAGAATAATTAATTTTTTTGTCTGGGGAGAAAAATTACTCTTTCATGATAGTCGAGGACAGTTTTTCCCCGAGGGCCACTTCCACAGTGATGGAGACTTTGCAGCCCTCTTTCTCGCCAGCGCCCCAATACCGAAGGGTCTAATTCTTGTGATGTTGGGATGAAAGGCGCAATTCCAAATGTAGGTTAATTGTTTTGACACATTCCTTCATTTGTACACTTCAGACATCCTCCTAATTAATTTGCTTACGCACTTTTGCCAAATGGGCGGTGGAAATTCGAGCGCGTGAATCTCTCTCTCTTTCTCTTCGGCAACATGAAAATCTCGTGCTGAAATACTTGCAGAATCTCGAAACAGCAAAACTTTCTTCCAACAGTATTAGACATTTTGCCTTTCATGGATATTTTGTCCCGGCTGATGTTGGTGAAGAAGAGCGCAAAATTGTGCCAAGGAGAGAATTCATCTCACCAGAAGAAAGTGTTTAATCCAATTTCAACCCCTCTTTTAATCGATAAATTGCTTTCGCATGAGCAGATTTTGTTACAAGTACACGCGATTTTCCAATCGCCAGACAGAAACACACAAATAACCCAAAAAGCGATTTTCTTGCACTGGAACAGATTCACCCTCAGACCGTCCGAATTCTCAGCGTCGTCTACAAGTAATTTATCACACACACAGACGCCTGCAGATCCCACGAAAGGCTCATCATTGAGGAGACTGGAAGATCTCCGATGGTAGAATCTCAGGATCACAGCGGGAGTTAAGCAAATACAAATCGCTGCAGAATTTGAGCACCTAAAAGATTTCAAAACTCGGTCAGAAACGAAAGAAATTCACAGCATGTCCATATGTTTTCTTAGAGTTTCCGGTGCTTATTTTATCGAAAACTACAACTCAAAGAAAGGATAGCGACTTAATGTGAACAGCTTTCACGTGCTTCACTTTCCCATAATGTTTC